CGACAGACTAACGCAGCAAAGAATGGTCAATCTAGAATAGAAGCAGCATACTCCCTCATAACAAAACATGCTCATGGCGCCCTCTCAAACACATCTACAGAACTGTTATTACTGAATAATACATTTACCCCATTATTACATTTACCCCAGCTTACCTTACGTTAATAGTATCTGTCCTAGTAACACAGGTCCATATTCAAACAAAACAGTTGATGCAAAATGATTTAAAAAAAAAATTAAATGTGATCGGTTTCTGTAGAGAACAGAAACCGGTCCTGATATGTTGGATTTCAAAACGTCCAGATTGAACTTTTTTTCAATCTAACCAATTTTGTGTCCCAAACAGTTTACGATGTATTATTTCAATTAAAAAGTGGCCACTCTGTATACAACAAGATTTTTTTTCTTGGTTTGATCCTCTCAATCAACGATCGTAGTTTCTGAGCAGGTTTAGAATTTAAATGCAATTTATTGAGAACGTAAATTTGGCTGTAATTACCAATAAGCTTCATTAGTGGGACATTAATTTTTAAAATCTAAGGCTATATTGTAGTCTTTATATTGGTGATTAATATAATAAATACCTTGTTTAATAGTGAAATAATTTTAAAATTCGGGAAATAACTTGTAGATTTGTACTGTATAGAAATTCCCAAAAGTGAGGCTTGATATTTGCAGGATTATCAACGGTAATATGAAATTTTATATAACTACCTCCAAAAAAATCGAAAAAAAGATTGTTAGACCTGGCTCGCTACTTGAAAAGCACCTTATTTGCATTTCTCTCGCTTAATACACATGAGAGAGATAGAAAGCACCTCCAAGTATCGAGTGAAGTCCACCATTTTTACTTTTTGAAAGTTGAGAACATTAATTAATTACCTAATTAAAACATTGTAAATTATCTAAGATATGATTCTTATAATTGTTTTTTTTTTAATTGTTGTAAACTCATTTATTTATTTCTATTCTTTATCAATATATATTATCTAGAGGTAATTTTTTATAAGAAAATAAAAACCTCGAAAAAAGTTGCGGAATTTTATTGAAATCCCACTCGATATAAATACAAGTCTAATTATTATATATGGAATATTTTAATCCATACTTCGTTGTAAATGTAAAATAATAGTTTCAATAATTACAATTCTGATAAAATCGTATTTTTCAAAAAAAGCAAGACTGAAAAATTATTGAAATTCTTTAATGTTTACGAATTTTTATCAATTTGGCAACGCCGCTTCAAGATTCAAGCTAAGCGATACGTGAGGTACAGTTTATAAAATGTTTACGAGGCCGTGGTTATTATTACAATCATAAATCTATTTATTATCATCCTGGTCGCAGTATATCGAGCAGCTAGTATTCAATTACAGGCCTTTTACTTGTACATCAGCACATGGCTTCAGATCCTAGACCAAATCATTTGAATTTTTAATTAAATTGAATGGTTCGTTGTAGGATTTAATGCCTGCATACATAGCAGTAATAATTTAATTTTTATGGTATTCAGATTACAATCATCATCAATCATCTGTCTGTAAGTTACCTCAGAACGCTATGGCATATAATAATAATAGACGTCCCTTCCCTAGTTCAGTAAGCTTCAGGGGTTAAAAATTCCCTTGTAAGGGGGTGATTTATAGGGAGAATATTATTTATAGTCCAGTAACTGAAGACCTGAAAATATGGAAAGCTGTTATTAAGTCGGTCAAGATTTCCTTTGCGGCTCAATTCTTAGGTCTTGACGGTTGCTTTCAAGGGCTAAAACTTTTACCAACACTGCTGGGTCGGAAAGGGCTCAAAATGGCCCTTAAAGTCCGAAAAAATGGTTTCCCGCTAATATCTGCCAAAATATACAAATTAGACAATTTTTGTTTAGATAAAAAATGAAGATCGTATCATTATCTACAAAAATGGTCTCTACCATTTTTTTTTTTTTCGCAAGACGAATATTTTTTGCAGAAACGGCCTTCGAAAAAGCCCGAATTTTTGTACTGAATAGAAATGTTAGTTTCTCACTGAATTTCCGCTCGAGGGAATTGGGAATACATTGATTTTCATGTTTTGGACTTTGGAGACCAATTGTAGATGGCGCCAGCGGCGTACCTCTGCTCACTAAATTATGGGGCCTATGAATGAAAATCCGGGCACCAATCGATCTTTCGACAATTATTGGCGGATTCTACGGGATTTTTTCTGTAAAGTAGCGCTTGGGGTATCTCATCTATATTGCCGAATGTTCTGTGTAATTTGCGTTGCAAAATTTAATAGAAAAGTGCAAAAAAAATTTTTTCATGTGGCAGTCTCAAATCCCGGCGCTTTGCCTAATAGTGGGTTACTAGTTTTAGAGGGTGATGAATATTGACCCGAGAAGACTCTTTATATTTTCTGCGTCTTTTGCAAAATTTTCGCCAACTTCTATCGGAACAATATAGGTCCAGGATTTCAGAAAAATAAGAAAGTTTCTGAAAAATTTCTTTTATTATAAAAAAACATGTTGAAAATACGAAATACATAGCAATGTTTATAATTTATCATACGTTAAACCATTCAATGTCATCAGAATCATACTCTTCATCGTCTTGCTCTATTCCTTCCCCTCCTCCACGCGTCCCTTCCCCCTGTTTTTCCAACCCCTGTGTTGCTGTCTCGACAGCTATTTCATCCTCCTGCTCTTCAACCCCTTCTGGGTCTCGATCCATCTCTAATTCTTCAGGGAAAATACCTTCATTTTTGTTATAATTAAAACACTGTGTTGACTGACACGAACCACAGACAGGCGAGCATTTCAGTCCGGCTTTCAAACATGAACAATTCTTCTCGCAGCCTGTCTTGCACTGACAAAAAATCATCTTCAAGAGTTCCGGGGGGGCCGGATCCCTTGTGGTCTGCACCGGTAGCAGTACATCTTCTGCACGTTTCCATCCCCATTCCTCTGGTGGCAGTTCGTTTCCAAGCCATTTCTGCACTTGTAGGGGTAGGGGGTAAGCATTCTAGTTTTATCGCAGTCTTGTTTTGGGCCAAGTTGTTGAAAGTCTTGTATCGGACGGCCTGGAGAGTTGTCACCTCTTTTGGAGATTTGTAAATTGACATCAAAACAGTTTCTCCGTTCTTGAATACAGTCTCATGAGAAAGGCTCTGATTTTGAAAACATTCAATGGCTGTTTTGAGTTCACTGGACTGACCTTCTCCTGCCAATTTAGACAAATTTTCCACTACTGACTTTTTCCTTTTCTGAAAAAAGCAGAGGTAGTATCGCTCCCAGTCATTGCATGTAAAAACAGAATGCTATCTCTCATGAAAGGCTGATCATCAAGGCTCCCGGAAGAAAATAGCTGTTCGGGCTTGTTTCCTTTGGCAGCTTTTAAAAAATAAATTTTCCATTGCTGCAACAAGAGCTTTACAAAAATATATTATTGAAATGTAATAAGAATTACAACAAATTTATAGACTTTATTTTAAATCAACCAAACCAAATTCTTGAAAATTCAAGAATGACGTCGTATTTTTCACTTTAAAAACTTTTTTTTTTAACAACTTAATTGATAATGATAAAATACTATCAATATTTTTCTAAAATGCTATCAATAATACCGACAATAACGACTCCAAAAACAACAGAGATTGTATACCAACAAAAGCAGACGATTAAGGTGAGCGCATGGCGCGTGGGTACACGTGGTTAGGTTATGATGGAATATCATGGATCTCAGGCGGAGAGCGTAAAAATGGGGGAGATAATTCTAACAAACAGTTAAGAACCACGCTCACATACGGGGATCAATTGATAGAAATGGAAAGGTGAGAATATCAGCTTCACTTCGGTCTGGGTATTAATGTTCAAACAATGAACAGCGGGGAACAAGAAGTATTTAAAAAAAAAGTCCGGTTTTCCCCGGTGTGATCAATTTTCCCGATTTCTGGAAAATGGAGCAACTTTATTAAAAAAAAATACATTCGAAAAGTAGACACTCTAAGCTTTAAAATGGTGTGCATTGAATAACAATATAATGAAATATGAGTTTTTAATTACTGCTTGTTTCAAAGATTTGTAGAACTCCGAAAACGTATGAAAAATGCAAATAAACAAATCAATTTTGTTTTAAAACGCCCGGAAGATACTGGAAAAAAATTTTTGAGATCATTCGAGACATCTCAAGATCCCTTTTAAAACAAAAATGGGATAAAAAACTATTAAAAGAAAAAAATATGAATGAATTACTATAAAGTGGTCCAAAATAGTGGGAAAACGCAACTCTGACCCCTTTTGCAATGTTCTTGACTGGAAATAACGGGCTTCAACGCACATGGATTGATACCTATGGGTTTTCCCATTGTAATGAACTTTGAATCATCGAAAAATATCAATTTTTGACCGAGTTCTGAAACAATTTGTCCACCCGTTTACAAGCTAATCAGCATTGCTATAGAGATAAAGCAGGGGCTGAACGAGGGGACTTTTGATTGCGGTTATCTCGAAACCTGTCGAATTCCCGACAAAAATGATAGGGTCCATTTTTGTAGATAATGATAAGATCTTTCTTTTTTATCTAAACAAAAATTCTCTAATTTGCATATTGTGGAAGATATTGGCGGGAAACCAGTTTTAGGGTCCATTTTGAGCCCTTTCCGACGTAGCAGAGTTGGTAAAAGTTTTCGACCTTGGAAGCGACCGCCGAGACCTAAGAGTTGAGCCACAACAAAAATCTGGACCAACTTAATGACAGGTTGGTCCCTTCAGTTACTGGGCTATTATTATTTAGGTATTACTATTTTATTAAAGTGGAACTTAAAAATTTTAATTCTAAATCAATAATAACACGAACTGAGTATAAATTAAATTATTCACAAATCTAGAGGGATAAAATATATAATTAAAAGGTTAAAATAAACAGATTTAATTAAAGGACCACAAGAGTGTCTCTATAAATTAATTTGATTTCTATGGAGCTTTATTCAAATCAAAATAAAATTTATAAACAAGAATACAAAATAATTTAATCAAATTGGTTTTCTTCAAATTGCCGTTCAGCCGTTTTATTCCTTTTACTAACACTTTCATTATTTAAAATATAAAATCGTAAAGGTTTAGTATTCCATTCTTCAGCTCTGTTAATGCCGATACGTGCACTATGTATCACTTTAAAATCATCATAAAATGGATCATCCTCAAGCCATAACGAATCATTTTTGAGATCTGTTAAATTAATTTTATTGACATTTTCTTTCTTTATATCAAAAGCGATACATAATTTCGATGGTCCATCGCATAATTTGGCAATTTTAAGAGATTTGGTGTTATTACTTTTAGTTTTTTGAACTAAAATTAAAAAAAAAATCCTTAAAAACTAGAAGAGAATTAGAAAGAATAAGCTTGCTTGCCTCTAAATTTTTCCATCACTTCCATGCCTTCCAAAGGTTCTAAGGCTCTTAATAAAACTGCAGCACCTGGTTCTTTGCTGGATATATTAAAGCAATAATACATTCCATAAGTCATATAAACGTAACATGTTCCAATAGGCATATACATTGGTTCGTTAGCTTCTGTTCGTCTTCAGGAATAAAATACCATTTAAAAATATAATCAATTTAAAAAAACGTCTATTTACCTGCCATTAAAGGAATGTGATGCTTTATCTTCACCTTAAACATAAAAATATGTGCAGTAAGTAACTTCGTTGTTTTTTCATCATCTTGTATATATAATCACCTCCTAAGTAACATTCTGTTTCAACAATTCTTCCTTTTAGAATTGTATTATGATCTAATTTCCGAACTAGCACTTTTCCAAGCAGGTATAGGGCTAAATCTTGACATGGTTTGTCTAAGTCTTCTTTAAGTAATCTTCTATAATTTATACTCATAGCTTATTAATGTTGATCTGTATGAAAAGTTTTTTTACTGTTTACCTGTAATTAAAAGTTTGAATTTGATTACCTCTACCCCCTCTACCTCTCTAACCTTTTTTAGTTTTTCTATGCTTTTTTCACGTCATTTTAGGGAATTTCGTTTTGTTTTTAACTGTCACCACAGCTGTCACTGATCGAACGGAAACCAATGACATATAAGGTATTTTCCTTTGCATCGTAAGTGTAGCACTGAGCAACACCACTTCGGAAAATATCGTTCCATTTATACAAATTGTATGGCTTAACGACATACTTTGATTTTCGCACTGCGCAGGTTTCTGAGTGCCTTTTAAAAGGAGATAGAAAACTCCGCCATTTTGATGCCTTATTACGTGTTGCCTACATCTTGGCGCAATATTTTTAATAGGTGCGTTTTAATCATCCGCTTCTGCTTCCGGAATTGTCGGTTCAGTCGTTCTAACCTGTCAGATTAAAACAAGAAAACCGACAATTCCGAAGCAGATGATTAAAACGCACTTATTAAAAATATTGCGCCAAGATGTAGGCAACACGTAATAAGGGTTCAAAATGGCGGAGTTTTCTATCTCCTTTTAAAAGGCACTCAGAAAGCTGCGCAGTGCGACCATTCTCCGTATAGTAAAAGAAAATCAAAGTATGTGGAATTGTCGGTTTTCTTGTTTTAAACAAAATAAATTATAACCAAATTTTCTGCACTTTGAGTAGTGTGCAGATCTTGAATTTCCGAAATAATTTTTAGGCAATTTTACACGTATTCTTTAAAGCCAATGACGTCATTAGTACCAAAGCGTAATTTTTCATTATTTTAGTCAAAATACTTTGAAATATACAATTTAAGAGCAAAGAGACACTACATTAAGTCATATTTTTTTAGTCAAAATTTTATTGTACATATTATCTCTTATAATAATACAACATAAATTCCAATTATACTGGTATTCATATTTATTAATCAAAATTAAACAGGAATACAGTTGTAACAAAAAAGATCAACTTAAGTCTATTTTTTGTAACCGCATGAACGCCTTCTACCTCGTGCTCTTTCGTATTTACGTCCCTTGGAACGTACCAGCGGTTTAGTGTGACTGTGTGGAACACCAGGAGCAGGTCCAAAGTGTTTCACGGCCTCGCGGGCATTGCGTCGTCCTTGCAAAAGGACCGTCTTAGAGCCGGTGGGGGCCTTGAGCGCCAACTGGTCAAAAGTGATTACTTCACCACCTGAAATGAGAAATATCTCTAAATATATGGCTTCTTTTTTAGTAAAATTAATATTAAATATCAAAATTATGAAACTTCTCTTGAAAATAGTTTTCCAGAAAGATTTAATTAATGGAAAAACACTTTTCTTTCAATGGTATATTAGCTTTTTAACATAACATTTAATTTCGTCTCCTGTTACAAAATTAACAGGGATAAAATAGAAAAGATTCCGAAATAGTTCATTAGAACACTTATAAAAAGTTTAATATTTATCCACTTTCCATTATTAGTTTTTTACAGGAAAATGTTAGGGATATTTGAAAGTCAACAACTCTATTAGGAGTGTACAAACTATTGATTTCAATTTTTATTTTATTTATTAATAATGTTAATGTTAAATTTAAAGGCTGCTTATTAACTTTGGTAGTGGAGCCTGTCACTGACAAGTCCAAGACAGATGAACATGCTCATTTCAATTTCAGGCACTCAATTTTTGACTTCTTTCGTTTACTTGATGGCAACATGCTCCACAAACAAAACTATTTATGAATAACATCAAATACCATTTTACTAAAATAGATGTCAGATTAAACACCTGCTACTCTTCATGCGTGTCCTACCATTTGTTCTTAAATAAATTTAATGTTGAATTAATGTAACTTGATCTTGCCTCTCAAAGAAAGATACATTTTATACTAATGTATAGTTAGTGAAATTTTAATTGTTACACTTCTGTTGTTAGTAGGATTATTTATTTTTAGTATAATGAATAACCTATAATAAAATGGGCAAGTGTTCCAATGAACTTAGAGAAGAAATAAAATGAATGATTATTAAAACGAAGGATATTTAACATAAAACTTACCTGCTTTCAAAATTCTAGCTCTAGCAGTCTGCGTTACACGAAGGGCACATACAGAAAGTTTGGGAATTTCAAAAATTCTAGAGTCGTCAGTTACGGTTCCTACAATGACTGCGGTGAGACCATCGCGACCGGGCTTCTTCATCAAACGGACTACTCGAGACAGGGACATCGGTGGTCTGTAAATGCTGCTCATAAACAATCTTTTCAGAATGATTTTATTGAATTTGGCTCCCGTACGACGAGCTAAATAACGGTAAAGCTAAAAACAAATTATAAACATTAGATACTACTTATCGATATGTTTAAAATGTGACTTACTTTAACCAAAAGTCGTAAATATACATCTTGGCTCTTGGGCTCTGTTCTCCTAACCTTACGGTCGTATTTATGGTTAATGTCAATTCCCTAAAAAAGAATAAGTGAAAATACGATATAAAAACGTTTACGTACATTTTAGGGAAATTAGAATTATAGAATTGTAAAGTATCTTGACATGGATGACAAAAATATTAACGAATTTATAAATTAACACTTTGAAACCTACCATTTTTACCGATTATTATTAGAAAAAGAAAAGACAAGGACCATGCATGACAATTGACACATATGACCAAATAAACAATGTTACCAAATTCAAAATATAGTAGGTTACTATAATAGTAGTTCAAATGTACACTAAAATAAAAAAAATGTACGTCAATTGTCAATTTATAACCCAACATTTTATAAAAATATTCAAATTCAAAAATACATTCTAAAAATGAATTAAAATGGTTTTAGAAAACTCTTACAAATCTCTGACCAAATTTAGAATACTATATAGAAGATTATCTCAAGTATCCAACAAAGTGTAAGTCATTCTTTTCAAAAATACTGTTAAATAGAGCAATTAAATTTATTTTAGAAAATGGGAAAGTGTGGTGGGTTTAGAAGTCCACGCTCAAATAAACTCGGAAAGTAAATTATTTTCAAGAGCCTCCACCAAATTTTCGTCACCAGTAAACACAAACGTAGCTTTATTTGACTGTTCTATACCTGGAACTCTACCAATCTTAAATAAAAGATGTGTCGAAGCTGGAGTGCTTACTGCTCTTACATTAAATTGCAGAATAAACCCCGTTTCACATTTTGATAGGAAACATTACTTTTATGCTGATTTGCCAGTAAGTTAAATGAAAATTAAATTTAAAACTCTTGGAGATTTAATTATTTTTAGATGGGTTACCAAATTACCCAACAGAGAGCTCCACTAGCCAACGACGGTTATTTGGAATTCCAAGTTTTTACTCCGGGATTTCACAAGACTCCGTACACAAAAAAAGTCAAAATCAAACAGCTGCAGCTCGAACAAGACAGTGGTAAAAGTTTGCATGATGAAAATCGCAGCCTTGTAGATTTAAACAGAGCTGGTGTACCATTAATGGAATTGGTGTTTGATCCGGATTTGAAAGATGGAGAGGAAGCTGCAGCTTTGGTTAAAGAACTTGTTTCAATATTACAAAGGATCAATACTTGTTCTTGCAAAATGGAAGGTAATTAATACAATTTTGCCGCGATGATTACTACTTGTTTTTTTGCAGAAGGAGCATTAAGAGTGGATGCCAACATATCTATTCACAAAGCATCTGAACCTTTGGGAATTAGAACGGAAATTAAAAACATCGGATCTGTTAGAGGTGTAGCTGGGGCCGTAGCATATGAAATAAAACGGCAAATCAAACTTAAAGAAGCTGGTAAACCTGTTTTGAATGAAACTAGGGCTTGGGACGCCGTCACGAAAAGTACCGTAGCTATGAGAGACAAGGAAGTGCAACAAGTATGTTATCTAATTTAATTTTTTTATTTATAGAGAGCGGAATATATGCAAAATGCATATATATGCATTTTTTGCATATTTTACCAAAGTTCAGAAAATATTGCATATTTTTCCAAAATTCAGAAAATATTGCATATTTTACCAAAGTTCAGAAAATTTAAGAAAATATTGCATATTTTCGAAAAAAAAATGTATTACTATACTGTGCAAATCAAAAACTGTTTTAACAGATTATACAGATATATTTGAAATAAAGACCTTTTAAATTTTTGTATTTGTTTTTAAGTGTCACTTCTTGTAAATTCTTGTTAATTAGTTCTTGGAGGGTGGCATGCACTGGGTTTTTACCTTCTTAAGAGATTAAGCCCATTAAGGTAATTGTTAATAGATGGTATTTACACAGATAAAGTATTACCTACAATGCAATAAAACGGTTTATATAAAATTCTCAATAATTTCTTGTAACCAATCTACCCTAACATTGGAATATTTTGAATGTTTTTCATTCAGTTTAATGAGATAGTATCCTCGTTATTTGCCTAGTGAAAAGTCTTGCAATAATTTGTTGTTTTAAAAGTGTCCTAAAATGTCGAGAATTTCTTCGTGGATTATTAACTTTCCAGAGTTGGAAATCAATGGGGATAAAGTTTTTTGTAAAGCTTGTGCCAAAATAGTGGTTTGCGAAAAAAAGTTCAAAGTGGTTCAACACGTGAAAACATCATTGCATAAAGCCAAATTGCAAAAAATGAAATCACAACCGGTTCAACAATGCGTTGTGAGGTCATTTCAAAACGCCGACAAAACAAAAAGTGACAAGGAGGTATTTAATCAGGACTTGTGCAAAGCTCTTGTTGTGGCAAATATTCCATTAAAGAAGTTACAAAACCTACATCTAAGAGAATTTTTACAAAAATATTGCAATCAAACCATTCCTGACGAATCTACACTCAGAAAAAAAAATGTACATGCTATATATAAATGTAATAGAATAAATTAAAGTTTTACTGGATGATAGCAATTTTTACATCATTGTTGATGAAAGCACAGATGCTTGTGGAAGATATATGGTACATCTTATGATTGGAGCCTTAAAAGAAAATTAACCAGGTACATCATATTTAATTGCATCAAAACAGTTAGAAAAAACTAACAATACAACTGTTACCCGATTTATTCAACAATCTCTAGCAGATTTTTTTTTGCCAAATCAAATTCCCTCAGAGAAGTTCTTAGTGTTTTTGTCTGACGCAGCACCATATATGATAAAAGTAGGGCAAAACTTAAAAATATTTTATCCAAATATGGTCCACGTTACTTGTCTTCTGCATGGAATAAACTTAGTTGCAGAAACTGTGAGAACAGAATATCCCTTGGTTAACAAGCTAATTTCGAATGTGAAAAAAATATTTTTAAAAGCCCCTTTAAGAGTGCAGTTGTATAAAGAGAGAATGGTAGGGGTGTGTTTGCCCCCGGAACTCGTAATTACGCGATGGGGGACATGGATTAAAGCAGCTATATTCTATGCAGAAAATTTTGAAGCAATTAAGGATTTAATTTTGGATATAGAAGACAATTCACAATGTGTAGGGCAAAGTAAAGAATTGTTAAAAAATCCCCTTGTGCTTAAGCAACTTGTGTTTATAAAGGTTAATTTTAGTTTTTTACCTGATGTAATAACTTCATTGGAAAAGAAAAATTTAAGTTTAATCGAATCAACAGATTTTATTGCAACAGTTTCCGATAAATGTAACAATGTTCCTGGTGACATAGGCCTTAAGATTAGAAAAAAATTAAATACAACTTTATTAAAGAATGAAGGGTTCAATGAAATAAGGGAAGTGAAAAACATTTTTGAGGGAAAATTTTCCAAAGAAGTTTTACGTTGGCCCTGTCCATTACTTCCAAAATTACGGTATTGTCCTATTACTTCGGTAGATGTTGAAAGGACCTTTTCTATATCAAAACATATTTTTACAGACAGAAGACAAAAATTTTTAATAGAAAATTTCGAAAAATATTTAATTATAAATATTACTATTTAATATTTTTATACTATTCTATACTTAACTTCTACTAGTTTTTGTGTTTCGTTTGTTTTAAATAAATTTTTATATTCCATTTTTTTTTTTTTTTTTTTTTTTTTCGTGTAATGGATTTGATAGCGTACCAAATTAGGAACAGCAATGTTAATTAGAACCCAACAGTGAATGGTCAAGTGGAAATATTCGCTAGGCATCAGAATTAATTTTTAAATAAATTAATTAATTTAAAAAATCGCGTCCCGGCTGAAATTGGAACCCGGGACCCCTAAGTCCACAGGCCAACGCACTAACCACTGAGCTACCCACCCCCTACTTTTTTTTAAGTATTTTTAACAAATGCATTTGCATAATTAGGCATAATTGGACAAAATAACTGCATATTTTTGGTAAAAACGATGCATATATATGCGCATATTTTGTTATATTTTGATGCATATATTCCGCCCTCTACCCATCACTGTAAAGAATCAAACTGAAGACTAGCACTGTATTATCAGCATATGATACAACTTTACCTTGAATATCAATCTGAGTTAAGCTCTTAATGTATAAATTAAATAGTACAAGTCCCAGAATAGTCCCTTGAGGCACTTCGATTTGTATATTTTCAGAGTTACTCACATTGCCTCTGACCTTTACCTTCTGTTGTCTGTTTGTCAAATAATTTTCAAAAACCTTCAACATGATGCCTCTCACTCCATTCTGTTCAAGAACATTTAAGAGCTTCTGATGTGGCACCGTGTCAAATGCTTTTGCTAGATCTAGAAATATAGCTGTACACTTGTAACCAGTATTCATTTCATCAGTAACATATGAAATCAATTTATCATTGCACCTCCTGAGTTAAGATCCTCAGTAAAGGCATATTGGTGCTTGGGAAGTAAGTAATTAGTTTTTAAAAATCTGTCAGTCTATCTTTCACACATTTCTCAAATATTTTGGCCACATTACTAATTAAACTAATAGGCCTATAGTTAGTTATTAATTTTGGATTACCAGCTTTATAAATAGGTGTTATAATTGAAGTTTTAAATTGTTTAGGTACGATTCCTGTATTAAAAATACAATTAATTATATGCATTAAAGGTTCCAGTAAATATGGATGTAGTAGTTTTAGATGTTTTACTGTTATACAATCAAATTCCGGGGCACTATTGTTTTTTAAACTATTTAAATGTTTTATAATATCGTTTTCGCATTGATTTTTCAGTGACACAGGAAAATCCACATTACATTCAGGAATATTTGTGAACATATTAGTGCCAATAGTCGAAAAGTAGTTATTGCAGTAATTCGCCATTTCATTATCATTTTCAAATTTCTCATTATATGATTTTCATTAGTTGCTTCAGAGTTCAGAGATTAATTGATAAGTTTTTTCAGATCATTTTTGTTTTGGCTTATTTTATTGTTATAATAGTCATTTTTAGTTTTTGATATTAGTTGTTTAAATTATTTCTAAATATTTTATAGTGAGTTTGCTTGTTAATAGTATAGTCTTTTTGTAGATCTTTTTTAAGTTTATCCCTAGTTTTAATAGAATTAATTAAACCATTTGTTATCCATGGCTTTATTTTTTTATGGATTTTAATTTTAATATTTTGAGTAGTTTGACATGTTTCAATGATATTAAGATGCGTGTCATAAAAAAGTTGTGTTGCAATTTCTGGATTATTTTCATTGCAAACACTTTCCCAGTTTACAGTTTCGAATTTTTGTTTTAATTTATCAGTATCGATTTTAGTTATAGTTTTATATGTATTGTAGGAACTTGTGTAGTTTTTGTCAGATTGTGAAATATTTATCATAATAGGATCATTATCAGTCATATCATAGCTGATTACATAAGAATTCACCGATAAATTTTCAGTCTTAATATTGTTTTTTAAGAATATATGATCCAAGCATGTTTTACTTTGTGGCCTCGTAATAGTGTTTATGTAAGACATGAAACCATGGGAGTAAAACGTTGCTTGGTAATCAGTAGTTACTTGATTGGTTACATTTAGGAGATCAATATTAATGTCCCCTATGAATATTTCTATTTAGGTGATTTGGTATGAAATTTTCTAAATCCCTTATAAATGCTTGTGCAGAGGTTTGAGGAGACCTGTATACACCTGTAATGCCAATGGTCCGATGATTGACTTTTAGATTTATTTTAGTGACACAAATATCAGAATATTCCAGTTTAACTATATTTAATTCGGCATTTAGATTTGACCTGACCAAAATTACAACACCATCATTTCTGTTAATGTTACCATTGGTATAGTGGGTGGTGAAGCCATCTAGGTTAAATTGAGAAATACATTCTAATTGGAAACATTCAATCAAAACTATTATATCACAATAATTAATTTTATAACTTTCTAGAAATACTAAGAACTCATCAAAATTCTTTTTAACCCGTAACTGGTGACATGAAATATTTTAGCACTGTTGGTGACTTGGAGTCTGCCAGACAAATTAAGCATGGTAGGGCTTCGGGAATTTTTACCTGGGTTATAAATATTTTTCACAATTATACTCTGAGGTATTTTGAAAATGTTTATTGATCAAAAGAGTTACAATCAACAATTATTTTAATATTAAAAATAATAATGCAAAAGAATGAACATTTGTAGTAAAAAAAAACTAACTTAACTTAAATCCTATTTTTTATAAAAAAAATAACTGATAGAGTGTAAAAAAAAGTGTTTCTACAAAGATTAATACCTAACAAATACAACTGTATATAATAGTTGCGTTTAGTTACAAAATGACACCAAAACTACAAGTCTCTAAATTAGTTATTTTTTGTAAGACATTCTTGGCACACTTTTTTGGCGCATTCGAAGCAAATAGGTTTTTTGCATTGAAAACACTGGTATTTCGTTTTCCGATGCAGTCTGGATGGACATAAGTAACAATATTTTCTTTTTTCCAAAGTTTCCTCAACTTCTTCACTTTCTGGAATATTTAGAACACGGCCGATTCCTTTACGAATGTCAGTTGAAATTCTCTTATTCAAATACCTACGTTCCAAATGCGGCCTTACAAGTTCCATGGCAAGTTGTTTCATAAAATCTAGACGTGTAATCTGAAGGTTTCCTTTATAGGTCTGAAACATTATAAATGCATTTACTGTGCTCATATCTAGTATTTGAAAAAATACCGCCATTGGCCAACGCTGGGTTCAGCGCGATGAGCTATACACTGCACATTTCTCATCTAATGAGTCCCCGCCTCCCTTTGTATTATTATAAAAGTCTATTATTTCTGGCTTTTCATTTATTGACAATTTAGAGTGATGCATGGATGATACTAATACGACGGCTTTACCTTTTTTAGGCACAAAAGATATAATAGTAATCCCTTTAGTGAAACCATATAAACACGAACCAACTTTTCGTTTTCTGTTTGGTAAAAAACATGGCGGTATTTCCTTTTTATTTTTTCGTAGTGTGCCTACGTATGTGAGTTTCATAGATTTTAGCTTTTCTACTAATTCAATCGAACTAAACCAATTATCGGCGGTAATATTTCTATTAGTGGCTTTAATTGGTTTTGCAAGCCTGATTACTGACTGAGTAGGTATTTTTATTTTTTTTTCTTCATTGTTTAAGCCCATGCTATCAGAACCTTTTCCGGTATAAATGTAACCATTATAAGCAAAACCGCTTCGAGCATCTGTAAGTAAAACATTACCTTTAAACCGTATTTCACTGGTTTTTGCGGCATGTACATTTTAAATCTGCAACGTGCCCTAAAGCCAATCTATGGTAGTGTTTTCTCCTACAGTATACATCGATTAACAGTTTTGAAAAAAACATGGTAAATAACTCACTAATTGCAGCAGCTGGATTTGATAATGCTCTCATAATCCTGTCTTCGGGATTGTCAAACCTGAGGCATGCGAGTAATACGGAAAATCTTTTTTCACTCATAACCAATCTAAAAATCTCTCTTCCCGTTCCGTCCGTAGCAAATAAAGCTGAGATATGTTCATGATTAGACTTAAAAGCCGAACTAAATACTAGAAGACCCAAAAAAGCTTTCATCTCAACATAGTCCACATCCTTTAGTTCTGGTTTATCTTTTCTTTTGTAGCCCTCTGCCATAGTTCGTAGTTTTACATTAGTCCATTGCACAATGCGATTTATCATATCGTCACTGAACAACAAGTTTCAAACTTTTTGAGGATTATTGTATTCCTGAATTTTTGCCGGTTGCCGAAAGCCTGGCAAATGAACGATTAAATTGTGTGAAGGGGTTCTAACATGCCTTGTAGGTTCTTGACGCGACCATTTGTACCTATTTTTACCATAATAGTTTTTACTTGACTTTGATGTGTCGCTATTTCGCGGTTCTTCAAACACTTCTTCCAACTCTTCTTCTAACTCTTCTTCTAGTCCCTCTTCTAAATATTCATGCTGTTTTTTTGTGTTATTAATAAATTCCTCTTCCGTCTCAGATTCTGATAATAAGTCCGGAACTGTATCCTCACTTTCCATGTAAAAGTCTTCATCAACGTTATCGACGTCACTGGACCGGCAGCTATCTTCTTCTTACCACTGCATAAGAGTAGCACCATAATCTGGATCTCCAAATTTTACTCATTTAGACGGTCCGGGTTTGTTTTCCATTTTTATTTTTCTAAACAGTAAAAAATAATGAGACCAAGTCGTTATAAATTTTCTTTGTATACTTACGTTATTGGTGACGTGGAGTCTGCTGGACTCCTCGGAAATTTCAAATGCACGTACCACCACTACTACGTCTTTCACGACACTAACGTTACCGCATGTGATTGCTGTAGGCATTGGTAGAAGGTACCTAGGAGGGGGAGTTCATATATGTTAAAATTCAAAGAAGTTGTTGGAGTCTGGCAGACTCCATGTCACCAGGTACGGGTTAATACTCCTAATATTGAAATGTAAGACATTTAGGAGTTTTTCATTTCAATCAATTTTATTTGTTATATTAGCAGCATCAACGACTTCATTAATCGAATCAATTTGAATAGAATTTAATAGATTATTTTCTTGATAAATAATCATGAACTATTTGAATGTGTGTACAAATATTAGTTACGTTATGTTATTGATCTGTATAGTCGGTTTTATTTTGCAATATCATTTGATAATATTTCAAAGAGGGACAAGTCAAATCCAGTGCAGAATGGTTGTAGTCGTACTCAGTTTTATAATAATATACTATTATTTGATTCTGTTAATTTAAGGATTACAGGTATATGCCGGAAACGAATTTACCACCCTTACATATCGCGATTGGTCCAATAACAGTGGGTTGCGTGAATGCCGATAAATTGAAAGCCTCTATTCCAGAACTTCCGGAGCAGACCAGACGTAGATTGAGAGATGATAAAGGTTTAACTTTGGAGCAGTCTATCATATTAGTTGTAAGTTATATACATATAGTGAATCAAAAAATAATAGGCAGATAAAGGAATGTAGAAAGAATGCTGCATGATAACATGTAATTGTGACATTCCAGTGCTGTTTATTATTTCAAGATTCACCTATAATAGATGGAAAAAAATAGATATTTTTATTAATGTGGACTGGTTATAAAGTAATGAGAATGCATCTGGAAACACTGCACGCATTTCGTTTTCACTCCTTCTAGTGTTGAGTTCGGATTGTGAACTCCTTTTATTTACTCTTTTATCTAACTTCACATCACTGAATTACAATGATTTAGCATGGATTAAAGTTAGTTATGGAGTGAATAGAGTAAAAGGAGTTCACCTTACGAACTCAACGTAGGAAACATGTTATGTTTATTGATACACCTTTATACAGATAACAGAAATACCCAAAAAGAAAGGCACATCTATATAATCCCTTAATCTATCCTACTCTGCATTTTTTAGAGCGTGAGAAATGAGTGTTAAAATATAAAGATTATAGAAGCATTCTCATTATTATTTAAGCAAAAATATACAGGGTAATTTTTTGAAAAGGATCCACCCTCGATAACTTCGTTCTCGTCTTGATTCAGGTAAAATCCAAAAACAGGTCAATTTTTATCCTTAGGGGGACACATTTTTAGATCACAACTGATTTTGTCGGATCAACCCCATGGCCCCACCAGCCCCCACCTCAAAAACCTTCAATAGCAAGGGGGGCCGAGTGACCCCTCGTTGGAAAGGTTTTTGCATTTACCATACGACCATGTAATAATTATTTCGTTTTGTACAGGGTGGTTGAAGAAAAAAGACAAATTGCAATAAATAGACTTAAATTACATACATCATAATAGATTCTTAAAATCACCACCGTTAAGAATAATAGGAATCCTTCCTCATTCAACAATTTATCTCCTGTCGTGACTTCACTTCAGTTTTTGAAGACGGTTGATGAGTGATATCGCGCTATCGCTCTTTTTGTATGCATTTTTATCTGCAATTTTTTGCGCATTTTCACAAGCCGTTTTGACGGATTAGATTTAATCCAAGTAGTTTGCAGTCAGTTGGTATGTCAATTGATTTATTCCCTGTAAAATGGTTTAAACTATTGCCGAGCGGGTAGAAGTTATTTTCATTTATGGTGAGGACCAGAATTGTGCCCGCGCCACTGCCAGAGTTTTTAATACGAGACATCCAGATAAGCGAATGGAGCACAAATATGTCACACAAATTGTGCGAAAGTTTCAAGCAACAGGATCGCTGAAAAATATGAAGAGAGAAGGTAACAGAATAGTTAATGAAATGGCTCAGATTGAAGTGGTGGGGAACTTTACTTTCGATCCAACCAGCTCTTTGCGTCAGATTGCTACGACCACTGGACTTTCGTATTCATCGGTACGCAAAGTGACAAAACTTTTTAAATTCCATCCCTATAAAATGAAGATACTTCAGGAGCTTGTGGACGATGATCCTGATAGGAGATTACAGTTTTGCGAAATTATGACGGAAATGATAAACGCAAACCCAAACCTCATAAAAAATATTTGCTTTAGTGACGAATGTAGTTTTTATCTGCATGGCGCAGTCAATAAACAGAATGTCTGATATTGGAGTGATGAGAATCCTCACATTTTTAGAGAGGGGCATACTAAAGCTCCTCAGAAATTAAATGTATGGGCAGGAATACTAGGCGATGCGGTAGTCTGTCCGATTTTCATTAATGAGACTTTGACAGGCGAGGAATATTTAGAGCTGCTGGAGGATATCATAGATCCCTTGATAACGGTTGAAGTTGAAAATCAGCGGGATCAAGATGGAAATCTTGTACTTGAAGAAAATGAGCTTTTTTTTTCAACAAGATTGAGCCCCACCTCACTTCGCTGTGAATGTTCGGAACTGGCTGAATCAGTGATTTTCGCATCATTGGATTGGCAGGCGGGGAGCAATAGAATGGCCTCCACGGTCACCAGATTTGACAGATTTTTCCTCTGGGGGCACCTAAAATCTGTTGTCTTCAAAACTCAACCAGCAGATTTAGTGGAGTTGCGACAACGAATAACTGACGCATGCAGAAGAATCCCTAGAGAAACCTTTCAACGGGTGAGAGAGGAATTTGAAAACCGCCTTTACTACTGCATGGAGAATAACGGTGGTCATTTTGAGCACTTGTGAGTTTGCTTCCTTTCACTCTAATCCGTTTCTTCTCGTTTTGTAAACAATTAATACGATTTTTATTCCAAAAATTAACCAATTAAAGCGAAATGTAAATCTATTTATTGCAATTTGTCTTTTTTCTTGAACCACCCTGTACAAAACGAAATAATTCTTACATGATCATATGGTAAATGCAGAAACCTTTCCAACGAGGGGTCACTCGGCCCCCCTTGCTATTGAAGGTTTTTAAGGTGGGGGCTGGTGGGGCCATGGGGTTGATCGGACAAAATCAGTTGTGATCTAAAAATGTGTCCCCCTAAAGATAAAAATTGACCTGTTTCTGGATTTTACCTGAATCAAGACGAGAACGAAGTTATCGAGGGTGGATCCTTTTCAAAAAATCACCCTGTATAATAAAAAACATGTGTTTATAGAATGATGCACCGTTATTGAAAATATTTGAAGAAATCGTTAATAGCCGGAAAATAAATTGCAAGATGGTCGCTAATTTCTTAATTAATGAAGTTAATACGCTTTTGAATAAAAACGAAATGGAATCTGATGATATGTAAGTGTTCATTGCTTTTATGTTAATCATAATTGGTTAAAAATTATATTTTTTTTAGTGAACATCCCCAATATATTGGAGATATTTTGGAACTTTTAGAAAAAGAAGAGATTAATCGAAATACTGCTAAAGTTTTATTGGAAGAGATATTCTCTGGGAATCAAAAATCACCTTCTGAGGTATGTCAGTTAATTATATATGTCCTCAATGAATTTAAATTACATATTTCGACATAATTAATTATTACATATTGAAATGTTTTGGGAAATCCCTGTCCCAAATCCTTGTAGATCACTGTTGTTCGATGTAAGACAATTACTAGTAATGACTGGTGTTGTACCACCATCAAACAACATTGGCTCATGTGCTCAATATCGAGACCATTAGAAATCACCTACTTGTTTTATTTTACAATTGCAGATAGTGAATGAAAAGAAGTTGTTCCAAATTAACGATGATGACGAATTGAAGAAACTTTGCGAAGATGTAATAAAAGAACTTGAAAAGGCCGTTCGTGATTATAAATCGGGGAAAACCAAAGCTTTTAAAGCTTTATTGGGTGCAGTGGTTTCTAAGAGTAACAATAGGGCTAATATGAGAAAATGCGCTGGTATTTTAAAAGATATGTTAGATAATAAATAAAAAAGTAGTTGAGTCAGTTTTTTTTTATTAGAAAATTGTATAATTTTATAAGTTAGGCAGGACTCAGACAGCTCGTTCACGTCGACCGTCCGCGATCGTCCAAAATTTCAAACATGCGTAAGCTTATGGCAAACCTCACACTAAGCCGATCGAGCGCCACCGTCATCAACCGTCCTCGACCAAGCAATTTCACTTTTCGAGTTTGTTTGAAATTTGGTTGATCGCTCGATGGTGGACGATCAAAAGTTAGGTTATAAAGAATTTAAATACGTTATAAAATAGATATATGTTAAAAAATGGCCGAAGGTTAATATTTATATTATTATTATGATCTATTTTGAATAACTGTATATAAATATATATCAGAAAACTCATATTTTTTTTAATATAAATGTCTATTGATTTAATATTAATTAACAAATATTTAATTGAAGCATCAACTGTTAATTTCCATTACAAGCAATAATTAAAATTTTAAAATAGAGAACCATTTTTGTTTTGGTCGGATCAAATCGATCGACGCTGTGTGAATTCACTCTTTTAAAACGGTCGAGGAGTCCTATGATTGTCCTTGGTTGACCGTGCTTGATCGTGGACGACCTATTCTGTCTGAGTTCTGCCTTATGTTTTTAAAGTGTTCAATAAAAAAAATGACACTTCTGAGGCATTTACAAGACTTGACGTGTCTAAAGTAAAAGGCCACTTATTATCTATCTGCGGCGTTGCCCGCAATGGATGCTTAATTTCTCTATTAGGATTGGCCAATCCCATCTAGTACGTACGTTTCACTGTGTTACGTTATTGCCGGACCATATATTTATAAATTCTTGTGTTTATACATGGTTTTTAGTATAATTCTGAAGGCCTGTAATGAGTGGTTAAAAAGACCTTTACTTCATATATCTTCAACTTAAGTATTGCAACAAATGAATTTCCTCACTTAGTTTCCCCTATATTTAAATCCGGAAATAAAAATGAAATCTAAAACTTTAGACCCATATCACTTTTATCAGCCCCTGTTAAATTATCTGAACATATACTGTATGCAAGAATATATCAACATCTTGAGAGCTGTCTGGTATCCCAGCAGCATGGTTTTGTCTCAAAAAAATGTGTCCGTACAAATTGTTTAGTTTTGTAACTACAGCTTATGAAGCACTTGAAAACAAAATGCAACTTGATGTAATATTCACAGACTTTAAAAAAGCATTTGGTAAGGTAAATCATGATGTCCTGCTTTTAAAACTAAGTAAATTTGGTTTGACAAATAGTACTCTTACACTATTTAAGAGCTACCTAGAAAATAGATATTCATTTGTTAAGCATAATGGGAACACATCGGGAAAATTTATAACATATAGTGGAGTACCACAGGGCTCCAATTTAGGACCCATCCCTTTTTTAATTGTTATCAACGATTTACCATCTATGCTGATGATCTTAAAATTAAAAAAAAAATACAGACTTAGGGATTGTGTGAGGTAAGACTTAGGTACATATAACCTACGATTGTGTTCTAACTTTTTCTAATCAAGTAAAAAATATAGTTAAGGCTGCAAGAATTCTGGGGTTCATAATTTGGCAAACTAGAAGTTTTACTAACATAAAATCTATAAAAATTCTTTATTATGCTCTAGTTACGACAAAAACTTGAATTTGGAGCTGAGGTATGGATGGGGGAACATTCAACTATATAATCTATAAGAGATTGAAAAAATACAAAATAAATTTCTTAGATATCTTTATTTCAAAAAACTCCATATATACCCAGACTACAATCTTGTTAAAACTGCAAACTTAAGAAAATAATTTAAAATACCTTCCCTTCACACCAGAAGGAATATGATAATGTTGACTTTTCTACATAAAATTAACTCACTTGAGCTACTGTACTAATACGATTTAATTTACCTCCGAGGAGAATGAGACATCCATGTATGTTTAATATTCCTTTAGTGTTCTTACCACTGCCAAGTCACCTCTTGTGACCATGCTCCGATTGGCAAATAATATTAACACTTGTATTGATGTAGACGATACACTATACCACTTAATATGTTCCGAAAACTTGTATTTAATTGTTATATTACTCTAGAATTAATTTTAAATTTCAATTGTTCAATAGTGGATTAGTAATATTTACAGTGTTAATCCCGAATTAATCTTAAGCCATCAATTTCGGCAAGTCGGGACCCTTGAGCCTGGAAACCAAATTTTCCTTTGATGATGCCGACAAAGGGGTGCCGCCAAAGGTCATTTTAATTATCTGTCCATAATTAATGATCTGTCAATCATTAATTATATAATTAGTTAATTTAATTCGCTTAAATGAAGATAAATTTAACGCGGCTTAGAATATTAATTGAAAATAGGATACCACACCGCGGTTAAAGAAAAGGTACCTGATTTCAGGTATAAGGGTTCGGCTCTTCAGGGTCATAAGACGATGCTAATAAATTAAATTTTACAAATGTGTGACGTTAATATTTAATTAGTTTTCATTGGTAATAATTTATTTTTAATAAGTTTTCCGCATATAGGGAGCCGTTCATATTTAATTACCGTTGTATTATTTTTTTGTAAATATATATTTTTTATTACCTATTCCTGTGTTTCTATTATTACTGGTTTTTAACCGTTCTCTTTCAGGGTACCGTAGGGTACGAGGTATAAAGGAGATAAGTGTTTTATTTTTATTTATTCTGGTATAGTGGCTACCTAGCAGTGACCGCCTGGAATTATTTACCTCCACTGAGTTCACCTTGATTACACTCTGGTGTACCACAGGATCGCAGAGCAAACTGCGATACCAAAACTGGCGCCTGAGCAACCCCTATTCGGGGAATTACCTTCATAGCGCCACACAGACTCGCTGATTTCACTGTAGGTGAACCAGAAGACTGTCACAAATGAAATCTTAGTGCATTAAAATTTATGCAGTTGGATGGAGAATCAATAATAATGAGCAATCTGTATTATGTGTACTATTTTGTACTAATTGTGTAGGATTGTCAACAATGCAGCGATGCTGACCCAGAAAAAAAAGTGTGTTGATGAAGACGCGCAAACGACCTTTTTTGCTTTTCGGTAGTCAACTTTATTTTAATATCTGAGACCTATGTGACATTTTTTATTTTAGCTCATGTACCTAATTTTAATTTGGGTAGTTTTTATGAACTACGTGTACTATTTGGGACACAATGTGTACTAGGGTACAAACATTTTCCCAATGGTTTACCTCTACACTACACTAAAATAGTAATATTTATTTTTGTTTATAAATATTTTAACTTGTCCTGTACATAAAAGATCAATAAAAAATTATTGTGTTGAATTTGTGATAGTTTGTTTTTCGTATAGGTATATCATTGGGAATTTAAACATATATATGATTGATTGTTTTTAAATATGTGTGCTAGCGTTGTATGAAGATAATATATAAATATTTCTTCATACAACTGAAAAATATTGTACCATTGTAACGTGGTCGTTGAAAGCTTAACTTATGTATATTGTTACGTGAATTTCCATAATAAAGATTTTTCTTGTGACCCATTTATTTTGAAATGGGTTCGTTCCTCAGTTTATATAAATATAAGCCAAATCAATTTATAATCTTATTCATTTTTAAATTCGCGCAATGGTCCGGCAACTACGTCATTTTCCGAATATTTTATATCGTTTTATATGATGCATTGAACAATCCTATAGTCAAATATCCTTGCTTTGGACCCTGTCAAAAAAAACAGACTTACAGGGTTGCCATATCATAACCCGTCATTATCCACGGACAGCAGTTTGAAGTGCTTATCTGCTAAAAGGACGCTAATTAAAAAAAGAAGAATAAAAAATTAACTAATGTCCCGTAGGGTAGTTCAATTTTTCTATTTTTCTAAAAAAAAAAAAGAAGAATACAATAACCTACGTTCGTATAATTTCCTTTTACCTTTTATATTGTTTTATTATTTTGCTTTGATCAGAAATGACACAGTAAATAGTTTTGTTATTACTAACTTAACTAATAAATAAAAATGGCAGAAGAAACCTTTTACAAAATCGTACAGCACATTTTCAGTAATTGGACTGGATTGAAGCTTGCCGTAGAACATTCAATGGGCGGACCAAATAGCAAACAGGTAACAACATTTTTCAAAGTCGGGTGACTGGCCGTTGCAAAAGGTATTCAAAAACCGATCACATGAGCAGCCGTAATGCCCCGGCCTCGGTCTGAATAGGTGACCGAAGTCGTACGGCTTGGGGTTAAATGAATGAGTAGGGCATCCAACTGGTAGCGCAATAAGCCATTGAGGCTGTAGTGCTGCCCTGCGAAACCCAGATGAGGGAAAAAGCAGGCTGTCGAAATCTCTCGAGGGGAGCAGAGGGATGCCTGAAAGGGTAAAATGAAACTATTAACGCCTCTTAATATTATTACTTTTAGCTTGCTATTGAATGCATAGGTGAAGTAACACAATATTGCATAGACGAATCCAATCTAGACCAAGAAAGTTTAGAGGATTTTCTTGAAGATACAATGGATGAGAAATTTGACACAATATTTGAGGATGGATCTCCAAAAGGTTAGTTTTAAACTGATATTTTTTGTACTCTAATTAATACATGAATTTTACAGAAATTGCAACAGTTTTGTTACAATTTGTTCAACTTTTAAAAAGCGGTAATGTTGAACAGTGTGAAGAGGAATTTCGCAAGCTTCCAGTTGCAAATACGAATTGGTTACAAGAGAGTAGGACTTCAAATCATCAACAAGTAAATTTGGAATATTACAAAAAATGCCTTAGTTTAATTATTTAAATTTCTTTTTTAGGTTAATATAGATAGTAATTCATCTAGTGAAGATGAAGATGCACATCAAAGCTCTGAAGTACCAATGGAAGATGATGGATGGACTGTAGTTCAAACCAGGAAAAAAAGATAAATCTATTTCTTGTATGTATTATTTTGTTAAGTTTTAATTAAGTAATAAAATATTTTAATAGTGTTTTTTTTATTCCAATTCATTTTCAAGATTTCAATTGTAAATCAATCAAATTGAAAGTTATAACTTATCCTTTATTACAATTCACAATAATATCTAAACACTGTACAGTTTTATAATTAATATTTTAGCCTGAAGTAAATTTTCTAAGTATTAACTAAGATCTTCAGGGGTGACTATTAATTCCATTCGTCTTCCGTTTCGATTCACGGACAATTTAAGCTCCCGTGCGCTGTTTCCCTCTAAAATTCCATACACATCATTCGAATGTTGGATGGTTTTTCCATCAATATGGGTTACTATGTCTCCAGGTAGCAAACCACCTCTAAAAATATTATAGAGATTGTTTTAAGCTTAACAAAAACTATAGAACCTTAAATTTAAAAACTTACTGATGAGCAGGAGATCCATAGATGACCTTCCAAACCAACACTCCTCTCTCTATATCCCTAGGTATATCGTGATTCCTCTGTTGCAATTCAAAAATAATTTGTGGAGTCAAAGTCAACATCGTAATTCCCATGTACATCCGTTTCTGATTGGTCGTTTTTTTAGGTCCTGTGGCCGATTTCAGGAAAGCCTTAACATAATCAATAGGTATAGCAAATGATATACCAGCAGTTACTTTCATGCTGTTCACTCCTATTGCTTCGCCGTCCAAGTTTACCAGAGGCCCACCGGAATTACCGAATGTTATAGCAGCGTCTGTTTGAATGTATACCATGTCTTTTCCCATTAAACCTGTGTACATCAATGTTAAAAGCGTAAAAACTATTAAATCTAAGTAAATTTACCTAATTCAGCTGATCCTCTATGAGTTGAGCTCACCACACCGCTTGTAACTGTATTACTTAGAGCTAAAGGACTACCAATAGCTACTACAAACTCTCCTGGTTTTAAATCCGAAGAATTACCCAATTTCATCACAGGTAATTTCTTTGCTGGTATCCTAACTGTAGCCAAATCACTTTTTAAATCAATATCTTCTACTTGACCTTGATAAATTGATCCATCGATTAGTTTTACTTCCACTTTAGCGTTCGGTCTGTTCGTTACAACATGAGCGTTTGTTAAAATTAAGCCATTTGCTTCTATTATGAAACCTATTAACATGATAATTTGCCTAAATAACCATGAATTACAATGACTGACCACTAGTAAATTAAATATACAATACATAAGATGTATTCCACGAAGTAAAGCAAAGTTACTTGTATGTGGCTTACTACTACATAAAAATATACGCCCTTTACAAACCTGAACCATTAGAAATAGTTGTTGGTCTCCCAGTAAAGAAATCTACTCTTCTATGGTCTTTAATTTCTATATAAACAACGGTAGGAGCAGAAGTTTCAACTACGTCGGCTATAAAATTAAACTTATTACGTCTCCCAGACAAAGTGTTTCCTCCGAATACCGTGGCTGCCGACACGCAGGGAATGAAGGAATATTTTTTTTTCACCTTATAGAAGAAATATCCAGATGCAACTACCAAGATAAATGATACATGATTGTGCGTTTTCACTTTATGGTTGGCAAGAATTTCGTTGTATATTTTGATATTTTCCGTGTCGACATGCTTCGAAGAGTTTGGCTTTTTAGTAAAATTTCCTAAAAATTTTGAAAATAAATGTCTTCTCAAAAAGGACATTTAAAAAATTCAAAAATTTTATTGCTTTCTAAAAAATTCTTCTTTTGAGTTATTTCTACTCTTCTTATTTTCTAACTTTTTAATATGGGTGCATGGCCAGCCACTACTATATTAGGTAATTAGTAGGTGGCCATTACGTAAGAATCAGAAGAAGAATCTACTATCACTAATCTCTTCTTCTTATAAACTTTACCCAACCTCGTTTTTAACGCTATTCAGCCAAAACGGGAGGGACAAAAAGGCAGGGCTGGAACCATAGATAAATTAATATAAAGTTTATCTATGGCTGGAACTCTGTGTCATGTAGAATTCTACTTATCGCTTTCTACAATAGCGATAAGTAGAATTCTACACGACACAGAGTTCCAGCCCAGGGACTTTACCGAATTTTGGAATATTTACTGTAACTGCTGAAAAATTTGTACCTTTTGCTGATAAAGTATTTCTTTTTCATTCTAGATTCTATGCGTGTCGCAACGAATGAGAGAAATTTGTAGAATTTTTAAAGCGGGATAAACTCATGAACTGTCATAAATTAAGGCTTATTTGTACTTCAATGATTATATTTTTCCATTTAATAGAATGCACTATTGATTATTACTTTCTAAAGTCACGTTTTAAAACAATTTAATCACTTTATTATATAACTCAATTGCATTTTATTGGTTACTGCGGGTAAGTATATTCTCTATAATTTTTGAATGAGTTTTGACAATCTATATGGTTTTGACCCGGTTCATAATAAGCAAAATATCCTCAATCTGAAGTGCCCAACACATGACTTTCTTGTAGAGTGACCAAATATCTTTGAGTACGGTCATACGGTCCATCTAATCAAAGTGTTTTTACCCCATTTTATATTCGAAACATTTTGTCATATCTTCATTGCCAACTATAATATATTGAAAACATTCATATGTTGCACTTTTCCTCAATTTTGAAGAAATTATATACAGGATGTGTTCCATATTAGCAAATGGACTTCCACACACTAAATTTCTAAAAAAAATGCCTTCAAACAAAACTTCTCCTCCTCTTTACTTAAATATCTCTAAAAAAAAGGTATTCAAGCAAAAACTTCTCCTCCTCTTTACTGAATCTCTCTCTAAAAAAAAGGTCTTCAAGCAAAAACTCCCCCGAACTTCTAAAGAAGTAAAAAAGTCCTCGCCAAAGTTACCAGGCCCCCCTTATAACGCTGCCGGTTCCCCACTTGAGTCCGGGCCCCGGGAATCAGTCCCGGTTACTCCCCCCTCTTGTCGGCCCTACGTGTGAACTATTTGTTCAATCAATAAAAAACTTGCACCGGTCCTGTCCGAGCCAATGAACTGGAGTGGGGTAGAATGCTTGTCAATAGGCTTGAGATGCGACTCTACGGGCAAAGACAGGTTATTTTTCATCTCACTCGGAAGTATTTATAACAACCATTTTCTATTTCACTTTGTTATTGTCTGATCCACCAGCTTGTGGATTGAACAATAACAATGTGAAACAGAAAATGGTTATTATAAATACTCCCAAGTGAGATGAGAAATAAAAATGGCTGCGCCCATAGAGTCGCATCTTGTTTTATGATACAATATGCACATTGGCTTTCTATCCCACTCCAGTTCATTGGTCCGAGCCAGCACCATTATGCGAATGAGCTCCGACCTTAGAATATATATAGTCAAGAAGGAGGAATCCTAAACGACCTTGGAATCGCGATGGTATCTAATTTTGACAGTGAACTAGACGAATATGGCGACAAATGTTTCCGGTCTACAGCAATGAACTGGAGTGGGGTAGAAAGCCAATGTGCATATTGTATCAATAAAACAATATGCGACTCTATGGGCGCAGCCATTTTTATTTCTCATCTCACTCGGGAGTATTTATAATAACCATTTTCTGTTTCACTTTGTTATTGTTCAATCCACATGCTGGTGGATCAGACAATAACAAAGTGAAATAGAAAATGGTTGTTATAACTACTCCCGAGTGAGATGAAAAATAACCTGTCTTTGCCCATAGAGTCGCATGTAAAGCCTATTGACAAGCATTCTACCCCACTCCAGTTCATTGGTCTACAGTGACGTACTGTCATAATTTTGTTTCATCAAGTTTTATTTCCAAAAATTGACCATGTATTTCAACATTAAAATTTGATTTTTCTCGAAAACGGTCGACTTTAGAGCGTATGACCAAGAGTACATTTTTTGTGTAGAAAACATCGTCGGTTTAAATGGGCGTCTCAAAACAGTTCTTTTTCCAATGGCGTAGAAATTTGTTTTTCAATTTCAACACCCTACCCTGTATCTCGAAAATGGTGCATTTTAGAGGGTAAGTTAATAGAAACGTTTTTTTCATATTTTTGGACGAGCTATATAGCTTCAGGACGTGATATCACGTCCTGAAGTCCTGCGCATATATTATGAAACACCCTGTATATGTTCTAAGGCTCAAACACACTATTTTCTCCTTATGGTTTCATTTTTGATATATGGAATTGGCTTTCTATAATATTTCTATGGTTTTAGTCTGGTTTTAGAATACAGATAGAGACATTAATCGTTAGAGGGGAACCCCAAAACGTAAAAAAAGCCCGTTACAAACTCGATGTCGAAAAATTATGATTCCTATGTTAAAATATTTACAAATATGCTTCAAAAAATAAGTGTCATTAATGAGCAGGTGTAACACACTTGAAAATACATATTATTTAAGATTAAATCAAATTTTAATCTATTTGAAATAATTTTATTTTGACCTTATCATATGCCTATCTATTTTTTACGCGATGGTATAAATAGAGAACTGATTTTGATATCATCCAATAGTGTTGTATTAAAAAATTAGCAGAGTGTTTTAAATATGGTTTTCGTGAAAATTTCAGTTGTATTAACCGGTTTAATCGTTTTTACGCAATGTCTCAAAACTGATGTTAGTCAATGTACGTATTTATTTAGTTTATATTATTTATATTAATATATATTATTTTAATAAAAAGGATCTAAAATATTTTTTTTGTGTTAGGCCAAAATGGTGGTCCAGTACCAAACGTTACATTAACATCAAATGGTGTAGTTTGTCGTCAATCTCCATGCAATGTATATACCGGACATGCAGCGAACATTTTAGTAGATTTTATATCCCGTAAGTAGGTACATTATGTAAAGTAGAACTATTAATGAATCATCATAATGTTGAAAGAAACATTTTAAAAAACTATGTCGACGAATGTTTAAACAATTTACTCGCTTTTAGCCTTCTACACGGAACAAATGAAACCGAATCTTACTGCAATAGCTGCAGGCGCCGTTGTACCATGGCCTTCCAATCAAAAAAATGCCTGTGATGGAATAACAAACACTGCCTGTCCCATCGTGAAAGGCGAACATGTAATTTATTCATACAAAATGGATATTTTATCGCTGTTTCCAGAGGTAAGCAAGAAAAATCGGTGTAACATGAAACCATTCGCTATTTTCAAAAGTGTATCCATAAAATTACCCACTGTTATTTCCGAACTAATTATTCTAATAACCCAAGAGCCCACTACAAATTTGGACCATTATCTAATAACGAAATGAAATAATATGCCTCGCAAAGGCATGTAAAAACATTTTACTTTATCAAACGGTACCTGTACTTATCACTATCCTGGGAAAAGTAGTTAAAAATAATTATTTTCAATTATATATAAAAATTGATGTATGGCCTGGATTATTCTCGTTCTTACCATTTATTAGACTGGCATCTCCGGCAGTTTCTCGAATATGTACCTATACAAGTAATCGCTGCTTTCTAATACATTTCCGAATGAATGATTTATACTACCTGCTATGTGTGACCGTATGAGAGTTTATCCGCTTCATCAAATATTCCTGGTGTCGTAAAAATGCATAAACAAGGGATTTAAAGGATTAGAGCAGTGGTAGCCAACCTCTCAATGTGTTGAGCTACTTTGTTAATTTTGGAATAAACAGCGAGCTACCCACACGGAAGCCACGTAACGCAACGTAAATGAAATAATCCACAGTTAATTTATCATTATATGTATTTATTTTACTATTTAACTGGTAATACATAGGTACTAATAATAAACTAATAACAAAATAACTAATATTACTAGTACGTATACTTGTTCATAGCTACATTCCTACCTACCAAACGAAGGTGTTTGAAAAATAAACACAAACTTTTATCCGGCCACAACGGCATGTCACGTAAGATTTAAAAATAGTTAATAATAACAACAAAAAAGTAACGCACTATCATGTAGATAAACATTGAAAAATAAAAAAGCACGTTCATTGAGAAGGCTGACACTCAGACTCATCGATAATTTTTTTAATGTTTGCAGTATAATTTGATACAGCCATTCGAATACAGTTATCCAAATGTTCATCTGTAAGTCGATTGCGATATTTGTTCTTAATAAACTTCATATTGGAAAAAAAAAGATTCACACAAATAGGTTGAACTGAATAATGCCCTCACTTTCTAGGCAACACGACATAGAACTAAATATTTGTCTTTACTTACAATAGGCCAGATACATTTGGTACTTGAGACTAACACGATTTTAAGGCTAAATCATTTTGAAACTCAATTACTTCCATTTCTGTTGCAGCGATGTATTCGCCAAAGTTCTGCATAACACAAGTTGCAAACTGTTGGATATCAATTTCCAAAAGGGTGAAACAACAAACTGCGCTACTAAAGCCATTTCGTTGAAATCCTTAAAACGATTTTTGAAGTAATTCTTCAGGGTAGAAACTATTTCTACATATTTGCTGTCTTAGGGTTCTAATGGATTTTGAGATATATTTTCTGAAAGAATAGGAAAATGCTTGGCATCGCTGTTAATTAGGTTTTGTTCCCAAAACTCCAGCTTTTTGATAAATGCGTTTATATCAGAAATCACTTCCGCTAGTTCTTTGTCTCTCCCCTGAAGCTGCAAATTAAGTTCGTTTAATTTCTCTGTAATGTCCACGAGAAAACCAAAATCTCTAAGCCAGATTGAATTTTCTAGTTCCGGAGTCGGTTCATCGCGTTGTTTGAAAAATTGAACTATGCCAGATAGGACATCATTAAAACGTTTCATCACCCATCCTCTACTTAACCATCGGACTTCAGAGTGAAGGAGTAGGTCCCCGTATTGACAGTCAACTTCATCGGCCAATGTTCTGAATAATCTTCTTTGTAACGCTTGAGCTCTAATCTTGTTCACAATTTTTACCACCAGTTTCATAACGTTGTTTAGTTTCAGGAAATGTCCACATAATGCTTGCTAATGGATAATGCAGAGGTAACAGAGATATTGCGGAAAAGTTTCATCTTTACGACATAACGCCACTAGACCCTTATCACAACCCACCATAGCTGGAGCGCCATCGGTTGTCAAGCCTACCATTTTCGATATTGGAATTTTCTCGGAAGAAATTATATTTTTTAAATGAGAAAACAACTCCTGTCCAGTAGTGTGTCCTTTCAGTGGAATAAACTTCAGAAGATCTTCTTTAATCGTAAAATCATTAAAAACTATCCTGACGAACACGGCCATCTGGGCAGTGTCAACGACATCTGTTGATTCATCCAGTTGAAGTGAAAAATAAACACAGGTATCTAAGTCAGTTCTTAACTGTAAAAAAATATCATTGCTCATTATTTCTACACGTCTCATCACTGTATTAGCAGAAAGTTGCATAGATTTTATAGCTGAAACTATCTCGTCTTTATTTCTAAAGTTGGAAAATAACGAATCAGCAGCTTCTAAAAACGCCTGTTTTATCATTTCCCCGTCTTCATAAGATTTCTTTTTTTGTGCCATTATCTGGGACACACGGTACGATGCTTCAGTTGCAGATTTATTTTTGTCGACTGTTCTTAAAAATATTGTTGTCCAATTAACTGCTTTTTTAACTGTTTCAGTTTCTCCTTTCTGGCGGCAGAATGTAGTGGGAATGATTTTTCAAAATTAGAATGTACAGTTTTATGATGTCTCTCAATATTTCCTTTTTTAGCAACGGAGACCGAAGTATTATATAACAAACACACATTTTTATCTTTAACTTCTGTAAAAAAGTATTGTTCTTCCCATTCCGAATGAAAGTGGTATGTCTTTACCTTCTTACAACTGCTTGCCATATTATTTTTTGTTGTTCTCTACTAACCCAACCGCTGGACGTTGGTTACGCGTTCAGTTTTAAACTAAGCGCAATGTCGCCGCGCCGTGCGTATTTATCCCGTTCAAAGCAATCCTGATCGTTCTCGAACACTAACGCGCTGGTCCGGCTGGTCGGTTCTAGCTTGATGGCGTCAGCGGCAGATCGCTCACCGCAACGTTGCCGCTGTTTATATTTAATATTATGACAATTAGATTTTTTTGTCGAATTTTCGGAAGCTTCTCTGATTTTTGCAGTTTGTATTTTTTAAATTAAAATCGTTGCGAGAGCTACCAGAATTGCCTCCGCGAGCTACCGGTAGCTCGCGATCGACAGGTTGCGACCACTGCTCTAGATTATTTGTTACTCGCCTAAATAGTGATAGACCAGTCTACAATAATATTCTTTGGACAGTCAAAACTACCTTAGGACCGATTCCACCGTTGTGTTAAACGAAGTTTAAAATTACATTTTTACATTAACAGTGTCATTTTAATCTCCGTTTAACACAACGGTGGAATCGTTCCTTAATGAACTATACGGTATGTTAAATAGAAAAACATTACTCCTCATTAACCGCCAGCCCTTTTTAACACAAAAGGTATGGCTCAGGTACAATTGCTATTCCCTCCCTCCAGAAACGAAACGTTGTAACTCTTACGGTTTTCGACATAGCAATACTGTTCAATATAAAAAGTAGCCACCCTGTATATGGATGTGAGTGGTATATAAAGAGAATAACTCGCCCAATTCGCCTGCCGTGATTGTACGCATGGTATATTCTGGTGTATTCTATTTCGCTCTAATCAACAGCATTGTTTCTTCTAAACAGTTCCCATGGAATCAGTGTTGGAAAGTTAACGTACTGTATATTTTTAAATTATATTCAAATAGTTCAATAACCTATTGTAATAACCATATTGGGTAATTGACATTATCTCTTGAGATTTATCGAAAATCTTATCATATTTTAAATTTATCTACAAATATTGCCAGCTGTGCTGAAATAAAACAATAGTAAATACTTGAGATTGTCTGAGCATATTGCAATGTAATATACTTAACTACTTAAAAAAATATATTTTTATGGAAAAAATAATTTTTTATCGTAAAGGCATTAATTATATTATTTTGTTTCAGATTTACGCTACACTTATATTTTCTCTAGCCAACGAAGCTGATGGACAATTGGCCACGTGTTTCACTGTCGGTTTACAAATTCTCAAACACTAAATATCACTTCAAAATAAAGAACATGACAAAAGAATGATATTTTACACTATGTATATATTATGTAATGAGGGAATTTTTTGAGGCCCCATGCACGATTCGTAATAGCAATGAATAATTCCGTCTTTAAAAAGGAGGTTTAATACTTAAAGAACACGAACAGAAAACACGCTAATATTGAGTCCTATTTTATTATTAAATTAGAAGCAGCTGGGACCCCAAAAAATTCCTTGTAATATACTTTTAAATGTATAAATAAATTCAATGCAAACGTGAATACTTTACAGCCTCTCTAAAAATTAATTTATCATTACTTATTTATAATAAATCAAATGAAATAGAATAAATTAGGTGTTTTTTATTTTTTTTCTTAAAATTTCTATTCAGTGCAATCAAAATCCTTTAAAAAGTACCTCCTGAAGCAAGCAGATGCGAGCGATTAGATTGTTTAAAGTCAAATTTTTGGTCCTTTCAACGTGGGGCAATCATGCACGTGATGTGTTTTCATAATAAAAGCAAATCAGGAGTCCATTTCCAAAACTTCTAAAATCCACTGAACCATTTTTTTCAGTAAACGAATAAAACCTCTCAACGTTTTCATAAGTACACTAAATTTTTTATAATTATCTTGGTATCATCATGGTGTATTACTACTTTATTTGTATGCATTAAAATAAAATTGTCATGGAAATAAGTTCAGAATTAAAAAAAAAAAAAACAAATGGATTTAGGCAGTTTTAAACAAGTCGGAAGTGGATAAAAAAGAGTTTTGGATACCTAAGTAAAACAATCTTTTTGTTATAGAAAAAACTTTAATATCCATGTAAGCTTGAATGTCAAAAAATCATTGAAATCAAAGAGAAAATTAAAAAATGGAATATCCAATATCAGATCCGAAGCCCATTTTCTTCTACGTTGGGGAGAGTGGCTTTAATAGCACAGTATTGTTACACGAACGTTCCAGAAACATACCTTTGGGACATTAGAAACGTCTCTGTCATGTTTCTTATTCTCCCTCAAACGTACCTAGGATGTTTCTGGCAATGACCATGCCTTCATTTGTAACGTATTAGAGACGTTACTCAGAGACGTTTGTAGAACATCCTGCGATGTTGCTCAAACATCTTAGGTAAGTTTTTTATACTATTGCTGGAACGTTCTAGAAATGACCTAAAAGTTTTTTAGTAGGATAATCAATCAAATATATTACTTTTTTTCATAAATTTATTTAAAAAAAATATATTTTTGACACAAAAAATAAAAAATATTAATTATTACGCTTTGATTCATTGCGTCTATTTCTTTCCGGAGCCTTCCACAACCAGTCATCTATTTTAATTTCCATTTCTTTTTTGTTTACCAATCTACCGAATCTGAAAATGTTTCAATTAAATGATAATATAAACAACTGCTATTAGGTTAAAATTACCCATAATGGCTTCAGCTATTTTTAACTTGGCGTCTTCCTTTTTTCCAGTGAATGAAAACAACTTACACAACTCGTTCCTTGAGGGGAACTATGCATCTTCTAATAAATTCACACACATTCACACACACATTGGTATCTTGGTTTTCAAAATACAATACCTAAAATAGTTATTTTTAAAGTTAATAAATAAAGAAATAATGATTAGAATGTATAAAAGCCACATTTTGTTAAAGGAAATTAAGTTACCTTCTTCATTTTGGTTTGAATATCTCGCACGTAAAACGATTGTTTTTGCATTTGCAAAGCCTGATTAAACCTTGAATTGGAAGTGTGCTGTCTGGGGTCTTGTATCGTGGGCATCTAATGATATGAAAATAAACAATAAGAAAAGGAAGCAACGACTTCTTGTAAGGTGGCGGCATAAACTCCAACGGCCTGGACACAGCTCAAATTGAAAAAAAAACCTAACCTAACCAACCCTCATTAGCGTCTGGCCAGTGAACCTCAATCCCAACTTTTAACGAACGTGTCTTGTATAATAAGAAAATATACAATAAGAAAACGAAGAAACGACTTCTTGTAAGGTGGCGGCTTCGCCGCCACCAGAAAATTTTCGAACCATGCCTGGCTACGCCGACCAGCAGAAACTCCAACGGCCTGGACACAGCTCAAATTGAAAAGAAAAACCTAACCTAACCAACCCTCATTAGCGTCTGGCCAGTGAACCTCGATTCCAACTTTTAACGAACGTGTCTTGTATCGTGGGCATCTAATAAGAAAATATACAATAAGAAAACGAAGAAACGACTTCTTGTAAAGTGGCGGCTTCGCCGCCACCAGAAAATTTTCGAACCATGCCTGGCTACGCCGACCAGCAGAAACTCCAACGGCCTGGACACAGCTCAAATTGAAAAGAAAAACCTAACCTAACCAACCCTCATTAGCATCTGGCCACTGAACCTCGATTCCAACTTTTAACGAACGTGTCTTGTATCGTGAGCATCTAAGAAAATATACAATAAGAAAATGAAGGAACGACTTCTTGTGAGGTGCCGGCTTCGCCGCCACCAGAAAATTTTTAAACCATACCTGGCTACGCCGACCGGCATAAACTCCAACGGCCTGGACAGAGCTCAAATTAATTTTTTTTTTAAATATTAGATAAGTACTGACATGCCGTAATTAACGTACAATCATCATGAAATGAAATAAAAAGACGGTTGTCTGTAATTACTACAAATGTTTTCACTTCGATGAGATTCAAATTTACCTGCTGGCCAGGCACTATGTAATTTTTCAGCCAACTTTCACTAACCGAATTATTTCCTGACTTATATGCCCAGACAGTACACCAAATCATTTGGATATCTACTGAACATCCCAATATCCACTGAATGTCCAGTCCATGGTAGATATCTATTTTATATCCATGAAATGTAATTTACAGACATGCAAATGTCCATAAATAATAGTAATTATATAGCAAATTATTAAAAAATTACGCCATTGTGGCTAATAGTACCGTTCAGATATTTAAAATTAATTTTTTTAAGGTGTATTCAATATCCCATCAAAGTCTAGGCGCAAACGCAAACCATCGTGGATATCCACTAGATGTTATTTGATTCTTCTTACTAAGTATAGATGGCGATACCACTTTCGCATCTACTCATGCTCGACCCGCCGTAATTGAGTTCGATCGAAATGTGTCCTAATCACTCCATTAGAGACTGGAGTCGAGAATTTTCATTTATTGCTGAAGAGTCCTAATAAGGATGACTTTCTCCTTAGTGGGCAAAATCAAAGTGTTGAAAATATTTTGAGTGTTGAAAATATTTTTTATCTGTTATTTTCTTTCGACGTTATTCAATAATCATTGGTTACTTATGAACACTACTAAAGATACCCATAAAATATTTTGCTGAATATCCGACAATCTTCTATATCCTGGGATATAGACGGACATTTGGTTGGATATTCATATTGGATATATTGAATATCCACAAAATATATTCTGTGGATATCTGTGATTTCTTGTATTTTCTGGAAGATACCCAGTAGATATTTTGCTGAATATCCATTAGGATATCTTCTATATCCTGGATATAGACGGACATTTGGATATCCATATTAGATCCACGGAATATTTCTGATATCCTGTGGATATATTGGATATCCACAAAAGATATTCTGCGGATATCTCTGGGATTTGGTGTGTTGTCTGGGATGTTTTCTTACACGATTTGGCAGCACCGCATTTATAGAAAATAGACACATCAATTGTCATTGAAAATAATTTAATGTTTGTTTTTCTAATAAACTAAAAATGAAAAATAAGAAAATTTGTTCGTTTATGAAAAAATTTGGTAGGGTTTATTGCTTTATGAATGGTCTTATATTGATATTTAGCCGTTTCTTCAACAAGAAATCAGTGAAAATGGTTTATTTCACATTTGTTTTATGATGGAGACCCGACAACAAATTTTAAGGATTTTAAGGTAAATTTTTTTTTTAAATAAGTGTTAGCGGACCCAAAATTGTTATGTATAGTGTGTTTCAAAGTGTCTAGAAACTCTTTATAACATTTCAATAGTTATATCCGCCGTTCGAGTGTCGGTGTATAATACCCCTAAAACATAATTACGATGTTTCTAAAACGTTCTCGAGAAATCATTCCAGAAACGTTTCTTTAGAGACATCGGGGACGTACCATTTGTCAGAAACATACATGGAACCTAAATGGGATGTTTCTGGCAGATCGGTGTTATTAGGGGGTATCTTCATCAGGCGCTTCTAGCTGGTTATCATCATTATTATCAATAATCGTTTGATAAAACGTTAAATCTACCCAACACACGTTTCTCCAATCTGGACTAAAATGCTTTTTCAAAAGGTTATCTACATTATTTAACTCCAATAGATTGACTGGAATTTTTCTTTTTTTTTAACACAGACTTGTACACTCCCATATTGACGCGGTAATTATAGCTTCATTCCAACAAGGACTTTTTAAGCTATTGCATAGCTTTTATCGTGGGCTTTGAGCGCGGCGACCGAATCAAAAAATTCCGTAACGAAAATAAACCTAACACCCTCGAAAAATCGAGAAAGGCATTCCGTCACGAAAATAAACCTAACACCCCCTCTCCGAACCGCACAGCGGTGCGGCGTTGAAAGCCGTGCATCGTCTAACGTCGTTTCAGTTCGGCAGACTTCGGCACGGTGTTTGTGTGCGTGCGACTAGACGTATGCGTGTAGACTAGCTGCTAACTAACTGCTCATAACTGATTCTATCTCTTTTAGACACAATTTCGGAAAAATTGAATTTGAAAATGAATCCACAACAAAATATGGGACCACCATTGACGCGGTATTTTCCAGATATTTAGAGGATATCAAGTCTCAAACTTATGTTTCTTATTTCAGTTACCATAAACCTATAGTTTCAATGATAAAAATTCCTGAATAACCTACATGTATTATATATATTAACTTCTCATTTATTAAGTAAAAGAAAAAAAATTGTTTTCTTATCGGTCACCACGCTCAAAAAGTGTAACTTGAATTAATATCAAAGAAAAAAAAATACTGCATAAATAAAATTGCATAAGTTGATAAAAAATGCTATGCAATAGCTTTACCGCGGTAGTCCCCGAGTGCCACACGTATTTTTAAACGTAGCAACGGCAAGAATGTCATCTGTAATATATTGAATAAATCTTTTACGAAATTAAATGATTTGGCGATCCTCCCAGCTTTACGTGCACTTTACCTACTACAAGCATCAATTCTTGGTGGGTAACTATAGAGGATAACAGGATAAAGGATAGCAATAAAAAAATAAAGCGACTTTAATAG